CCAGCACAAGCCCGACACGCATCATGGTCTGATTGGCCGCGCGTTTTTCTAATTTGTTTTTTTAATTGTGGCAGCCTCTGTAGGCCCCACGCTACAGAAAAGCCCATAGGGAAATTTTCCCTTTCTCTCCCCTCTGTTTCCAATTCCCTTTCCTTTTTCCTACCTGTTGCACCCAAATATCCCCCAAATCCCTACCTGCTGCAGGTAGTCTAAGGGATGAATGCAGGTAGTCTAAGGGATGAATATTGAGAAAATCATAATCTCTTACAATATTTGGGTTTTTGTCATATAAACCTTAATTTCTTTATTAATTGTATTAGTGTGCACCCCATGCAAAGCACGACCTCCTATTTTTTTAACACTGCATTTTGAACATGCCTATCTCTAAGTTTTAATACGATTTAATTATTGTATGCTTAAAATTAGAAATCATATTTACTTTATTATACTTAAAGAATGATCAGAGTTTTAATACATTTGGTTTAGAAACCATATCTACTCCTCTATACTTGAAAAATGATCCAAGTTTTAATACATTTGATTTGTTTTACTATGTATAATGCAGTAAACACTGTAGCATGAATATTAGCTTCAAATATGAATGAGCAGATTTGATTTACTGTTTATGCCACACTAAAACACTTTAGTATAAACCAGAGGACCGTATTTGATTTACTGTGCTGTAGTATGAACAGTAATCTTTGGTTTCTCCTTTAAATACATAGGAGTAGATAAGAAGCTTAGATCTTTATATTACTAATTTGCATCACCAAATATTTAAGTTGTTTTAAAATACCACCTTCTTGCTTGATACTCATGGCGGACTATGATCTTAATAAAGGTTAAGCTCTTGTAATTAATTAATAGATATGGGGTGTTATTTAAAGATACGAAGACGTAAGAGTCTAAAATATAAGATCGAGTTTAAGGTCTAACATGACAAAACTCGAAACTCGGAGGGGGTTGTTTATAACAGGTAAAATAGATTGGGGTCTAATTAGATTCATAAAATTTGGAGGTCTAATATTTTTTTTATTTTTTTTATTTTTTTGGGGGGTGGGGGGGGGGGTATTATTGGGATAACAACTGCTCAGCTCTATTCTTTCATTATTTTAGTTTAGGTTATGGTTGTCGTTAGCTCAGACATCTATTATTTGGAGAACCTTGGAATCATGTTGGGCTTGGGCGTCCTTTTTTTATTAGCTGTACTGACCATGTGTTCTTATCGGGCCTGGCAATTTCTCACTAATAATTGACAAGAAATTAATTTACTCTCCTGATATTTACTGCAGAAAAACATCCAGGGAAGTTGATTTTCACCCTATAATATAATTTATGTTGCTTAGCAAAGATTAAAAAAAAAAGTAGTCGCTAGTTCTGCTAATTTTTGTCTCCCTCTAATTGGATTTGTTAATGCGTATAAAAGGGAATTTGTGGTTGAATTAGGATTAAATCTCAATTAATTTCTCAGGGGAACCACGAATTTGGAATTTTACCTATGACTTTTTTTTTTTTTGGAACAGTTCGGTGCAAGCCGGCAAAAGCTGCATCCACGGAGCAAATGGATCTGATATCGAAGTGGTAAATATTTGAGGGGCCGGTATCTAAAAGGACTCAGTACACAAAAGAAAGTGAAAGGAGGAGAAAAGTAAAAGGTGTTCGGGCCTCATTTGGGTGGCCAATCCCTTATATAAACCAAACGAGATAAAGTTTAGATCCAATTCATGAATGGACGAGGAGTGAAGTCATAGATTGAACGTGTGTGGTCCTCAGAACATCCATATAAGAATAAGATAACCTACTGTTTAATCTCTTTTTTGGAATTTTGCATATGTACCCCTCAAATCTTTCATATTTGTAAAAGTTACTCCTTAAATCTTGGTATTTGCAAAGTTACCCCCAAAACTAGCATGTTGGGTCTTTCGGCCGCTACTTAAGAATGCTACTTTTTAAACAAAGGAATGTCAAAATTTCCCAACAATTTTCAATACGTTTGCGATAAAAGAGGCAATTTTGCAAATACCAACATTAGAGGGTATTTTACAAATATAAAAGCTTTAAAAGGTATATATGTGAAACACCTTATTATTATTATTATTATTATTATTATTATTATTAGTTTTAGTTTTTTTATTGCTTATTATTATTATTTTATTATTTTATAGTTTTTGCCCGAGATGCATAAAAGCCCGAGAGAGATAGTAGATCAGTCTTGGAACTCAGTGGGGGGCCTGAGGCTGAAATCAGGTGAAGTCAAGCGTTTGTTTTCAAACATATTATTCTTGAAAGTAGAGAAAGGAATACCTGTGCCAGACTATTATCTTTTATCCATTTATTATCACATCTCACTTTTTAGGGCCCGTTTGAATTGATTTTTTGAAGCTGTAAAATAGAAAAAAATCGTCAAAAAGCTGACATTTTTATAGCTTTCCCCCTACTTTCTCTCTCCAAAAACAAGAACCAAACGTCCGTAGTGTTCACTAATCCCACTAAATTAATTTTACACTATTAACATTAGTGTTAACAAGAGACGTGACCGTAGTAAGTGTAACTACATCAATCAATCAATCAAAGTCAGTCAATAAAAGGCTGTCACAAGGAATCAATGACTCTCACGTACGGCATGCTTCATAACTGATCACTGATAATTCCATGCGCTAGCTGGTAGCGTGCATGGCAGCCCGCCACTAAAGTCTACGAGCCTAAACTTGCGTGCTCTATGCCTATGCTCTCTAGTATGAGGCTAGGACGTCAATGCCCATGATTGTCGTGGCTTTGGTTTCTTCACGTATTTTGGACTCAAATAGCTCCGTCACATAAATATCTCATGAATTGGGTAAAATTCTGGTTGGAATGGGGTTTAGGTATACGTTTTGTGGTTTTTATATAGAGTGTCCATGGACACTCTATAAGAGGAGAGAGAGATAGAGAGAAATGAATAGCTCATGAACCCTTCTGATTTGTATTAATTTATGTGCATAATTCATTTCTTTCTATCTCTCTCCTCTCTTATAGATTGCCCATGAGCACTCTATGGAAAAACCGTAAGTTTTAAGCCGGACTCCTATTATCCTGGTGTTCAAATGGAATGGTTTATTCTTCTCTTTAGAAATTGGATGGTCGTCTTTCTCGCATTTGTCTTTTACTTTTAATAAAGTGGGCATAATTTAGAACTTTTTTTTTTGATGGAAAAAACTGCTCATTCATTAAACCAAATGTCAGAATGAAAACACATCATACGAAATAATCTATACTATATATAAAAGATGATTGCCTTGTCAAAACTTTTGATTTTCAATTTTACCCTTTTAAATTTGATAATTCTCGAATGTGACATTAGTTGTGACTAATTATTCACTAATTATATATAACCTCTTATTAATTATGCATTTCCTCACTTATTCAAAATCTTTTGGTGACATTATTATTTTATTATTTGATTGTGTTATTTAATAGAAAATTTGAAATTTATCTTCACATAATATTTAAAATTCTAGAAAATTTAAAAATAATAACAATTCATTAGGCTTATGCCTTATGCCTCTGGGTTTCACTTCTTATGGACAACTATTTTTTACCTTACATCTTATTAGCCTTTAAAAGGATGATAATAGTATTGAAAGACAATTTGTATTTATTATAATCATAATAGTATTAATAGTATAATGATTTTAATAATATTTTTAAATTAATAAGTTATATTGTAATTTAATATACACAATTCAGTAAATTATTTACTAATAATATAATAAACTAATTATGAAATTAAAATGTAGTTACTAATAGTACTGTAATCATGCTATGTATACTATTATTATATTTAGAAAAGAAGAAATTTGTTTGATATGTTATAATCATTTTAATAAATTACGAATAAATTGTAGCAATTATGCAAACTATAATAGTTAATCATACAATTCTTTATACGCAATTTTATCGTATAATTTATTCATTTAAACAAAATTGTAAGTGTTTAAAATTTATATTGCTATATAGGTCATTTCATTATTTTGCAGCGAACAAAAAAAATTTGAAAAACATAAAACAAAATAGATAATGCTCTCGTGCAAAGCACGTGCACTATACTAGTAACACTAAAAAAAGAGAGAGAACAATTCTCTCCAGGTTACCGTGTGACTACAAGAACATCCATACTATGTGCTATAGCATGCGTCACATAATTATCCAAACATAAACGAGCGTTGGTTGAACGCGAAGGACTCCTTGCGAGTTTCCTCAACAACATATGTCCATAGGAAGATTATTTCCTCAACAACATATGTCCATAGGAGAAGTTAATCTCTCTCTCTCTCTCTCTCTCTCTCTCTCTCTCTCTCTCTCTCTTAATTTTACGGAAAAACTTTTTGGCTCACAGGTTGGACAACTCGCGCCCAACTCGCAGAGAGGGAGTAGGGGGGTGGGCCCCACATCTCTGCGAGTTGAGTGTGAGTTGCCTAACCCGCGAGCCAAAAAGCACTACTCTTAATTTTAGTGTCATTTTAGACCTTCAGACAACTGGAACTGTACTTTGTTCATAATGTAGTGAATGAGTATAATTTGGGAAGATGGTCCAATTTGTGGAGGTGAAAGATTCTGAAGCTTGGCAGCATACCTTTCAAAAACCAAATTATACAATGCCTCAGAAGCTGTATGCAATATTTAGCCAATTTAAAACCACAAATTTTCCTTCTAATGCATCTTCACCCTAAATGGTGACTCCTCATCAAAGCAAAACTTCCGTTAACAACGAAATTTCCATGTAATTAGCTATTTAGTCCTCTCTCCTTTGAGAGGTGAAGACAATAAGTAACACACCAAAATGGTAAAAGTAATTATCAATGCAAAAGCATTGCAACAACATAAATAGCAACCAAGGCCTCTTAAACAGAAACAGATACTGAAAACATATTATCCTTTTTAACTCAATTAAAGAAATTTATACAAAATTGAATGAAGAACATAATCAAAAGAACGACATTAGACATAGTATTAGCACTTGGAAGCTGAAAGGGAGATAACACCATTAGATATCACACAATAAGGTATACAAGCGTACGTACAACGCAAATACAGGTATTTACACGCTATACATCCCATTTGAAGCTTTCTTGAAGCTCATATATACACACTATTATTCCCCAACATATCCTGTATTAATTCAAGTCCACAATACGCAGCATTCATCTGCTTTTCTACTATGCTTCTTTTAGATAGTGCACTAATAAGCAACATCGTATCATGTCTATGGCTAACAATAATGATCTGGTGTAATGGCATTGATGCATGTCACATCAACAATACATCAGACCAAGACTTGGTCGGTGGATGTAAACATCACCACATCTACTCGAAAAATTATTTATGAATCTTTGATATGATTCATGCTTATATAGATCACAAGAACTTGCCAATAAAAGAAGGTAAGTTTTGGGCATCAGTCAACACTGGCTTAAGGTTCGAGTACTGATTCCCTATGATTTCTCTAAGTTTTGGGTGTTGGTTGTTGTTGACTTCAGTCGGAAAGGACACATGTCAGGCTGTCTTACTATGTAAATCTGATCTCCGGCAGTTCCATAAAGGTCCTGGTTCCGGTGCCATGTCCATAATGCATAAGTCTCATTCTTTACCTGGGAAAAACGCATAGAAAGTCTGAGAAAGTACATCAAAATAGGAATAATATGAAGAGGGCATATCTTAAAAACACTTCAAATGAAGTGTCACGGGATGATCTGTAGGATTTCAAGTGCTCCTGCAACCCTAATTTTGCAGGATGCAAACCAATACTCAAAAAACTCTAGATGTCACAGTTAAAGTGGTAGTAAATTGATGGTGCAGAGCACGTAAAGGATTCATATCAGTTACTTATCTTCCATTTTATTTTTATTTTTATTTATTATTTTTTATATTATTATTATTATTGTTTTATTGGGCGAAAAAGTTGGAAAACTAAATTGAACAAACATATTAATTCTGATTTGAAACACAGAACCAACAGGCAACGTACACCATTTGAATTATTTGTTGTTTGTTGTAGAATATAAATATGCAGAGTACTTGTCAGGTCCATAGTGTACCCATGTTTCAGTTAATTTCAGTTAGGAAATAAACATGCATAACTTCAACAGAAACCAATAGAAAAAATTGAATATGCAAGGAAGATTCCAGTTCCATAATTGGTTCATAAAAATACAGTAATATATACTTAGACTGAGACTGTCAAATGATAAACAATTAAAACCTGACATTATAAAAGTCGTCATGCATTCTATGTCTATTAACATGTGAAGGGTAAACCAAATCAGAGTATAGAAGGAACTCAAATGCAAATGGTCCATCTAAACATATATAGTTTCAGCAGTTAGCTCTTGCTCATCTAGTACGTGAAACATATGAGAGAAGTTAAGAGACGAAGTACTATCTCTAAACTTCAGCTTATTTTTACTTTGGTACATAAAGTACATTCATTAAAAACTTGGGTACCCCAGAGTTTCAATTCCACTCCACTTTGACAACACTACCTAGATATTTTACATATTCTGTTAAATTTGCATTTTAGGTCCATTTTACCCGGTTGCTAGGGATTCAAATAACCAAATGTTTTTGTAGCAATGGATGGGGGTCTCGCATGCTAAGCACATGATATAAATTTAACAAAGAGTCTACTGGAATGGAATCTACACAGAGGTATGAAAGTGAAACAGGATTGAAAATTTGGGATATCAAAGTGTTAAAAAAAATATTTTGGGTATCAAAGCGAAAAGAAGGGTACACTTTGGGGTACCGAGTGAGAGTAAGCTTTAAAATTTTCAAACGAGAGGTACCTCCAATATTCCATGGCCAAAGCTGCTTTCTCGATATGCACTATAGTAAGGCTGACGATCCCAGCAGAATTTGTCAGCAGCAGGGCCTGTGGTGAAGTTGAAAGCACAGAATTTGCCAGTCCAGTCACGCGCACTCCATGGATCTGGGCAGTGGCCAGGATCATCTGCATGAGAAACAGCTATCTTCTCTCGATTTCCTCCATCTCCAACTGTAATATGAAGTGGAGCACATGGATCTAAGGAGTAGTTGTAGACCCGATTTGATCTTTCATAAGCATGAACCTGTGTTTACGAAGAACATAGACTAATTATCTTTACATAAATAAGCTGGTTTTTGTATAAATATTTCTGAGATAATTCTTATTAGCAAGGCATTAGTCGTGTTCAATGCTAAGAATCTTTCAGGGAGTGAAACTTTAGCAAGTAAGATTCCCGTTGCATCAAGAAACTTCCATTACATTCCAACATGGAAGGGGAAAGGAAATAAGAAACAAGTCAAAACAAGGAAATAAGAAACAAGTCAGAACTTCACATAATTTGTTGGTTACTTGAGATTCTTCTTCTCTTCTTTTTTGGCAAAATTCAAGCTACAACTTTCTTCTAGTTCATGCAAGTTTTGGTAACTTGAAAATAGTGAAATGGAAGGGAGAAAGAGAAACTAGAAAAGTATTTTCCTCTTTCACTCTCTTAGTTTCTTTCTTATCCCTTCCATGAAAATAACCAGAGCCAATTGAAGGCAACAGATGAAAAAAAAAAATTGAAATGGAATAATGTGCTTACATGACCATTAAAAACTACATCAACGCCATATGAGTATAGAAGTTCTTCCATTTCCACTCTCATACATTCTGCTTCCCTGTAATGGGCTACATAACTGCTATACCAAGGTGGATGCCAGGTGGCTATCAACCAAGGGGTTACTGTTCTGTCTACATTTGACAAATCTCTCTCCAACCACTTGTACTGCTCTCCTGCAATATGAAGTTGGAAAAAATTAGTTTCTACTTAGTCATTCTAAATGACATTTAATCAACACACTCTTGATCTGGACTGTATCCTGATATAATGATCATTTTCACATAAATTCAAATAAATAAAATTGTAGTATCCTATATGAATTTTTGTAGCAGAAACCAAGTGTGTTCTAATGCCAAATAAGTCTTAAAATGATTACAGGGACATGATTCTGGATCTGCACTACAATATTTCAGTTAATGTTTTTTTTATGTTTATAGATACTGGAAAGTGGAAACAAACTCTTTACATTGTGAACTGTCATATTCAATAGACAGAAGGAGAGCCTACCTTTGTCTTATTAAAAGCTTTTTAATATAGCAGAGTGACTTGTTCCCGTTGTTTTAATCAAAGAAGAAGAATAAATGCAAAAGAAGAAAATGCAATTAAAGAATGCCATATGAATAACATCTAAGACATAAAGACCGAAAACAGCCTATGTAGTCACTAAGACTCAATGATAAAAGAGTGTCATTGGGTTCTGGAATGTTTCAGGGCCAAGAACATTAAGGCTTTGTTTTGGGGTTGGGAAGGGGGGTTGAACAAAAAACAAACCCGTACAGATAGATGATAAACTTACCTGACTTTTCATAAGAAATGTAGCCACCAAGCATGATGAAATGTATTCCCCCAGCATTAAAAGAATAGTAAAATGTAGAAAATGACCCGCTTTCTTCAGATGGAAATGCGAACCTAGAGCTGTATGATACATAGGTCTTCTTTTCAGCCTGTTGTTCTAGTTCATGGTTTCCTTCTATCACCATTATAGGAATTTCTGATACTGTTGGTTCCATAAACCTACAAAAAATATTAAGAATTGATATGAAATATTTAATCCAGGAGGACTGCAAAAATCATGGTAGTATGTCAATGATTTAATAAAATTGAAAATTAGGAAAATAAAAGGAAGCAAACAAGCTGACAACATCAATGGCGTTTTTGTATAGTTTACTAAATTAAAAATGGAAGCCCAAATACAACCTCCCCCCCCCCTATATGTAGTATGATCCATCTCTAATAATCAATAAAATATGTTTCATTCAACTATAAAAATTCACAATGTTTAAATTATACAGCGAATGAGTTGATAGTAATACTTGTAGCCTTGACACTTCTCCAAGAAAGTAAAACAGTAAAGTTTTAATTCTTTGCATTTAAATGTTTAAGCCTTCCAACAGTTTGATTCAACATTCCCTACAAATTTCATGTGTGCATATAGACTTGAATTAATACTGAGCAACAATGAAAGACAACTGTAGATAGAAAATTATAGGCAGATAGATGAGACAAACATGTTAAGTATAACTATTTTAAATAAGGGCTGGGAAGAGAATGTTGGAACATGAACAAAGACTAAGAAGAACTTTTACCTTCCCCAGTAATCCCAACGTGGCTGGTACGTCTCGTGTATTGGAGTACTGTTACTAAATGAACAAGTATAGCAGTTTGTTCCCGTTCCATTCGTCAGGTACATATTTGCATAAGTAACATCACCCACCAAGACTATCAGGTCAGGCTTGTTTTTTCTCATATGACCGACTGTGGATGTAGTATTGTATGTAAGACCCAAATCACCAATGATCGCAATTCGTGCTGGGTAACTCTGAGGTCCTGAAACCGGCATGGTCCTGAAAGCATGGATATGACTCATGCCAAAAGAGGGGTCTCCACATTGATAAACGTACTTTGTTCCTGGGTTAAGTCCTGCAAAGAAACTACATTAAATAAGAATAAGTGGAAACTACGAAGGAACCCATTTCTAAATTTTAAAGAGAATTTTCAACATTAAATAAAAAATGAAATAAAAAGTGACACCCAGTCCTGGCACCTCAAAATTCCAAAGAATTATGTTAGATGTAGTTTACTGACTTTACTCCGGCACACGATACATGGGCATGGGCAGGATCTACTTCTAGGAAGCCATCCCTTGACAGTGGATATCATCGCAAATGTTATAGACATAAACATAAAAAAGACTATAGGACTTCCATTAAATTGAGTCAATCTACATAGTATATACTCACACATTATGAGTTGAAGACAAGGATGTGTAGGTGGAGGAAACTAAAAAGAAATTTATCATTGAATAGCATCATTTAGAAAATTACATGTTTCAATCACACTTCATGCAAAGAGCTAACACCTATAACAAATTTCTATTGCCTCACTTCACTATTGAAGATCTACTTGAAGCAAAATCCTACCAAGGTTACCAAGAAAGTCAAATTGCTGATCCATACGCCTGATTACCAAGGATTTGAAAGGACAGATTAGTACATAGTTACCATAGCATGTCAATTTGACACATAATTGGCATAACATGTAAACCATTGTCTTGCCAGTAGGACTTCTAAGCCAACTTCTTAATGGATTTTTTTCACAGCCTTCTTGATCGAAAAGTAAGGGAACAAAGTATATGCGAATAAAGGACCAGTTAATAGATTTTTCCAACCTTCTTGGTGGAAAAGTAGAGGAGCAAGTAAGCATATTCAAATTAAAGACTTTCACCTTCATGAAGATGACATCTATGCTGGTTGGTATCCAATTTCCTTACTTCTATGGGTGCTTTCTATCCTACATACGTGAAAAGTGATATCTTATATCATTTCCTTGCAAACAGAAAGCTCTATAACTAACCCTGAGGGGGGGATGAGATCATGATGTTGACTGGTAATCAGCATAAAAAGCATCAAGCATCTGCTGCTAGTTGTCATCAAATTCAATCTTTCAGACCCGGTAAAAAAATTTGAATAAGAAGGTATAAATGAGCATGGAGATTAGAATTCATTGCTAAACCCTAACATGCATGATTCAAAGCAGCACAGCAAAGGGAACTTCTTACAGATGTGTAAAATTGCTGACATCACCATCACTATAAAAACAAAACCTGTTTATAGGGTCCGAACATGATTACTTCTATACTCCATTGAATTTTTTGTTGACACATCCTCTTCCCCACCGTATAGTTCTAGAAACATCTTATGGAACTACTAAACACAATCTTATTCCTGATCACTCAGGAAAAGAAAGATGTTATTTTCATTCAGAAAGTTAATATATTGGATTGTTTATTGTCTCTTTCTGGACAAAGAAACACAGAGAAAGAATGTGGATTAGATAGTAAAATAGCTACCAAATCGGAGGAGCTTCTCATTTATCTAGTAGACTGTGACCAAACATTCACACACACACTAATGCACTTATTTTCGTCCAAGCTCTCTTTCTATGCAAATAAATCAAAATTATTTAATTAGGGTTCTTATGCCAATTGAAAATTCATAAAATTACTTCATTATTTAAGATCTAGAAAGTCAAGAAGGAAGTACAAGAAAATTAAAACCAAAATACATGGAGAAAAAAAATAACTACCCAACCAAAAAAAGCTCGAGCAGTGTACCTGTAAGGCGAACATGGTGAATTATCCCAGAAGTGTAATTCTGAAGGCCTTTAAATGGGTATAGCTGATTATAAACAAATGAATAGCCAGTGGCTTGATGATGTAAAGAATGCCGTCGTCTTCCATAACGAACAATGCTGGCTACACTTTTAGGATCTAAAGGCTTGATTCTTTTCCCAATTTGAAAATCTCCTGAGGTTCAGGAAAAATAGAGCCTAAGCTTCAAATAGATCAAACACCAGTAGAGAAACAAAACAAATCATGCTCGTTTTAAATTAAAATAACTAATGTAGCCGATTGCCAGAAGAAAGTATTGACTAGAAAGAAGGAGAAACATTTCAGCTTGAAGCTCAAATAATGGGCATTAGCACCCTTTAAATCCTAGTCAGACATGACACTAGCTCCATTCTCCAAAAACCATACAAATTGAACATTATCTAAATCGTCAAAATCTTCGTCAATTTAATATAATAAGAAAACACAATTGAAGGAGACTAACAAGAAAAAAGATCAAAAGGTTTTTACACCAAGATTAGCACACAAATTTTTAACTTAGATAAAAGTTATAAATAGTAATTTCATACAATATGAGACAATTTCAACTACCACAGAAATATTTCACAATTCCACCAACAAGACTCTAGAAAAGATAACTACTTTATTTGAGCACTAGTCATCACTCCCTTTATTTATTCTTTTCAAACAAGATAACATGATAACAAGGAAGAGAGTATTTCATATGCTTTTTGTTCAGTAAAATTAGTTAGAAACAGAATATGGTACATTTACAAATCTATAAAGAATATACAATCAAGTTCCAATATAAGAAGAAATACATATTAAAATGCATAGAGGAAGCTACCAGAATTCATTATATTTCGTGAATTCTGGTTCAGCATGGCTAACATGGATTTGGATCCTCTCCGCTAAGAAATAAGTGAAGAAATCACTACTCCAACCATAATCGTCTGTTAATATTTTGATGGTTATGATTACTTTCAAATCCCCCCGTTGTTTGAATTTATTTCAAAATTTCATTCAAGACAAAATACAATTGTTTACTAAACTATGGACAATTGTGATTAAAAGTAACAATCTTTCTACTGTTTTTTGGTGGTGCAAAGCATCCAAATCTGAATTAACATGTAGATTTCTTGTCCCCAGCCAAAAGGTAAGAATACTGAAGTACATAGAAAATAAGCAAATTTTCAAAAAGTTCTATTCAAATTCCCAAATTCCACACCACAGTGTTCTCAACTTCTTTCTAGCTTAAGATAATAGCACAGTTCACTTGGCCCCATTGCTGCTATCAACAAATATGTAAATTTTCAACCTTTGACGATAATCTTCTTGGATTTTACCCAATCAGGGTAAAAAAATAAAAATAAAAATGAACATGCATTCTTGGAAGGACAGCATAATTCACTCGCCCCATTTACAATTCAGCCAAAACTAAATTACAAATCCTGCTCACATGTTCTGATACTACGAGTAAGGACCCTACACTTTTGTTTCTTTGTAATACAAAATTGGTATTGGGTAAGCTACTTTTGCTCTGCGAGATAGAAATGTGCTGACTCACGCATTTTGATAACTTTTGCCTCTTTATTTGGTTTCTAGTATACTTAGCGTTATTATCATTATCCTCAACGATTTCTGGTTTTTTTTTTTAAAAAAAAAGAAAAAAGTAAATTACTAACGGTAAATGCACGTAAACCAGCGAAAGAAAGAGCCATAAAATTGCATTTTTTCCACCCCTTTTTACCAGTGATCCAAGAGATCCAAACAGAGTCATGAGTAGCCGAGAGCGACACCGAGATCTGCTCCGGCTTGAATCCCTTCACCCTCCTCCTAACCCTAGGATCGTCGTCCGGTAAGTCAACCGCGTTTCCCCTGAACACCCCGTCCTCTAACCTCGCCGTCTCCGGGGAAAACGGCCCCTCCGCGTCGTCCGTTATCCCCCCGCCGCTCGCCGAGACGTCAAGATCGCCGACCGCGAAAGGGCGAGCGGGGCACGGTGCCAGCCCAGCCTCATTGGTTTCGATGGCTGCTGACGCGCGTCGGGGTATCTAGGGTTTTTACTAGGTTTGGAGGTGGGACGGGGACAGCATCGTTTTCAGGATTTTGTTCGGTTTGGTTTCTTGTTTCTTGTTTTTTTTTTTTTTTTTTTTTTAAGTTTCTGGGGCGGTGGGGCGGTGGAAAAGGGGAGCGGTGCCGTATGGGGGCAGCACTGTGTCGTTAGCCTTCTCGAAACAGCAGTGTGTGTGGAGGAGACTCATTGGAGGCTGGAGAGGCTATTTCTGGCTTCATAACCGTATTTTTCAATAAATTAAAAAGGGGATAAAAAAAAGGGGATGTTTCCGGCCCTCAAAATCCAAGAAAACGTGTTTACCATCCCTAAAACTTTGTCAACAGGTATTTTACTCCTAAAATAAAGATTCTGTTCTCTAAGCCCCAAAAACACAAAACCTAAGAGATTAAAATATATGAAGACCATAATACCATTCTCTTTCTCTTTCTTTTTTTATTAAAATATGATGAGTATTATTTTATTATTTTCGTATTCTCTCTCTCTTTATCATGATGTACTGAGATGATAGTTAAAATGATTGATGAGGATTATTTTATTATTTTTGTTTTTTTTTTGTATTGGGAGATTGTTAAAGTTACAGGTTAATTGTTAAGATTACGAGTTAATTGTTAATGTTACGGGGCAATTGTTAAGGTTATGAATCATATATATATATATATATATATATATACCTCACATATATGACTATAGGCTATATATAGTATGATATAGGTATCCTCCTATATATCACGTGGAAAAGGTGGAATGCTACAGGTGACACAGGGAGGGGTAGGCTCCGCGACCGTCAAGGCACACCGGAGCGGGCCGTACGAAGTCACCGTCATTTCCTAAAGAAACAAATGTGTGAGCCCGTCAAGTGAACTGATCTACACGTTCTAAACCCAAACACAACGCAATTTGTGGTGAACCCGTTGTGCGTTTTGACAGCACTGGAGAGAGGAGTTTTTATTCATTCGACAACGTTAAATTGGGCAGCGAGTGGATAAAGGCGTCAAAACACCGACGGGTCTTACCCTGAAATGTTGTAGTGTTTGGGTCAAAGAAGCGTGTAAATCAAGTTCAGAGGAGCGGTATCGGGTAAAAAAAGAATAGGAAACTATGGTGATTTTTAGGTTACGGCGTCCTAGGTGGGAGCTAGGGTGCATCAACCGTTAGATCGCTTGTTCGCCATATATATCATACTATAATATAATGATATATATATATATAAGTATATATATAAATATTTTTATTTATATAGTAAATAAATATTTGTAATCTTTTTTCCTCCGGGCGCTTGGTACCAAGCATAAATTTTGTGACTTGGTAGTGATGTATAACATCTACATGCCACGTCATAACCATCGTGAAGTGGCTCACACATTTGAATGAGTGGACGCGGGAGAATGTGACACCTCAATACCAAGATACCTTTGTGTGCTTGGGACCAGCATACCATCCATCTCTCTCTCTCTTCTCTCCCTCTCTCTCTCTCCCCCTCCTCCGTCTCATGATCGCTCTCGTCTCTCTATATATATATATATATACCCATATATATATCATATATATACTACTATATACTCATATTATTATATATAGTATATTATATTATATATATATATATATATATATAATAATATCATATCATGATGTTAATTTGATGATATTGTGTAGGTTACGGATTTGTTGTTAAGGTTACGAGTTTAATTGTTAAGATTACGGGTTTAATTGTTAAGATTACGTGTTTAATTGTTAAGGTTACGTGTTTAATTGTTACAGTTACGGTTTAATTGTTAAGGTTACGATTTAATTGTTAAGGTTATGGGTTTAATTGTTAAGGTTACGGGTTTAATTGTTAAGGTTACGGTTTTAATTGTTAAGGTTACGGGTTTAATTGTTAAGGTTACGGTTTAATTGTTAAGATTACGGTTTAATTGTTAAGGTTATGGGTTTAATTGTTAAGGTTACGGGTTTAATTGTTAAGGTTACGGGTTTAATTGTTAAGGTTACGAGTCAATTGTTAAGGTTACGGGTTTAATTGTTAAGGTTACGAGAGAGAGAGAAGGGATCCATAACCTTAACAATTGATCCGTAACCTTAACAATTAAACACGTATTCTTAACAATTAAACACGTAACCTTAACAATTAAACTCATAACCTTAACAATTAAACCGTAACCTTAACAATTAAACCGTAACATTAACAATTAAACTCTTAACCTTAATAATTAAACACGTGACCGTAACAATTAAACTCGTAACCTTAACAATTAAACCGTAACAATTAAACTCGTAACTTTAACAATTAAACCCGTAACCTTAACAACAAATCTGTAATCTACACAACAAACCCATAACCTTAACAACAAACCCATAACCTTAACAACAAACCCGTAACCTTAACAACTAACCCATAACCTTAACAATCAATGCATGACCTTTACAACCAACCATTATCCTTAACAACGAATATTCTAAAAATATGAAAAGAATAAAAAACGAAAATAATAATCCTCTTCAATCATTTCAATATCATCAAAGTAACATCATGATAGAGAGAGAGAGAGAGAGAGATGATTCATAACCTTAACAATTGACCATAATATTAACAATTAACTCGTAACCTTAACAATTAACCTGTAACTTTAACAATCTCCCAATACAAACAACGAAAATAATAAAAAATAAAAATAATAAAATAATCCTCATCAATTATTTCAACTATCATCTTAGTAAATTATGATAAAGAGAGAGAGAAAACGAAAATAATAAAATAATCCTTATTATATTTTAATAAAAAGAAAAAGAGAGATAAGGGTATTATGATCTTTACATATTTTAATCTCTTGGGTTTTATGTTTTGGGGCTCAGATAACAGAATCTTTATTTTTGGGGGTAAAACACCCGTTGACAAAGTCTTAGGGGTGGGAAGCACGTTTTCTTGGCTTTTGGGGGCTGGAAGCATTTTTCCCTAAAAAAAGAACTTCCCCTTGCTTGTAGAATAATGATATAATAAATAGGGATAAAATGACCATCCTCTCGTTATTGGTGAATTCTTAGGTAAAGTATCAATTAATCTATTTTATGCTTTCAACTGTGTTAGAGCATCTCCAAGGAATCCCTTGGATGTCCCTTAATTTAGAGGGAACTTTAAGGGAGGGGGTGGTTCTCCTCCAACTCCAATGGTTCCCCCTTAAAACTCTCATACCCCTTAATTAATTATGTTTAGTTTTTTAATTTTATAGATTAGAATTTAATTAAATATGTGGTTTATTTATAAATAAATAATTAATTAAATATTAATAACTAAAAACAGTTAATTAATTAATTTAGATTAAGAAATTACCTTATACAATCATTAAATTAATTAATCATATTTAAATTTAACAAATAATTAATTTAGATAATAATTAATTTATATAAATTGTGTTAAAAGTTAAATATTATTTTAAATTTAAATTCATATTACTTTTATATTAATTTAATTTAACAATAATATCTCAAATTAAATTTACTATACATTAAGTTAATTATATTATTTTAAATTAACTTAATTATATTATTTTAAATTTACTATACATTAAGTAAATTTAATTAACTATAAATTAACTCTAAAACAAAATATATTAATATAAAATTATAAGGGGAAGGTTAAGGGATTTTTTTAACCTTCCCCTTAATTTGAGGAGGAAGTTAAGGGACATGGGGGTGACGGAGGAAAATTCCAGTCCCTTTGATCCAATCCCCCTTAAAAGTTCCCTAATTTAGCTAAGGGGCCGGATTTTTCCGGCCCCTTGGAGATGCTCTTACTAAATCTCAGTGTGATCATCTCGTTATTGATGAATTCTTAGGTAAAGTATCAATTTATCTATTTTATGCTTTGAATTGTGTTCCTCATTTCAATACGATCATCTTATGAGTCTACAAATCAAATGTTTTAACAGATTAATAGCGTAACAGTGTTTAAAATGGCAAAAAAAAAACTACCACGTCATTAATTTGTTAAATATCTCACTGTATACTAACAAAATGATCACATTGGGCGTATACACATAGTTTTAGTGGAAAAACAGGCAAGTTGATATTTTAGGGGTAACTCGAGAATTCACCAATATTTTAAGAGGGAAATGATCATTGTATCTTAGTTATGCATTTTTATTTTCTCAAATACCGTCAGTACTCAACAGTGATATGCTATGCGGACTGGATTCCTTCTCATTAAAAATTATGTCAATCTCGTTCGGGCCATGTGGACCAGATGCTAATAGTTAATAAAAGCCCATTAAAACTTCCTCTGCCTCCTTTTGAAGGTAGCAAAAACCTCTCATGCATGAATTATGTCTATTATGTGATATGGGAAAAGGCAAGAGTATGCCTGCATAGTCTCAACATCTTGTTAGATATTGTCCTTGCAGAGTCACAATGACGAAGGATAAAATAAAATAAAATAAAATAAAATAAAAAAAAGGGGTGGAGGGCCCCTTCCGCTATCTAACAATAAAAAATTAGGCCAGAGCAACGTCTTCCCCCCATATTTTTTGCAAATTTGTTGTAGAAATGTATTAGCGTAAAACTTTATAATTTGGTCATATAACGAAATGTGTTGTCAATGGATTTCCTATTAGGATTTAGAACGATATTTCTAATTAGATAGTTTTTTTTTTTTGGATATTGTAGCTTTACATCCACTAAAAATTGATTGCAGCGTTTGCTGTAGTTTTCTCTACGAAATGTAAGTTTATTTCCCTTTTCCTAATAAAAATGTTGCAAATCAAACAGTTCAAACATGATTTTGGTTGTTGTACTTACATTAGCATCTCTATTTCCGCACAACCAAACAACACGGTTTCTTCTAAGGGCCTGTTCGTTTGCCTAAAAAAAAGAGGGAAATCAAAGAAATGAAAAATTTTTAAAATGAAGAATTGTTTTTGGAGTGTTTGGTTGGCTAAAAAAGAAGGAAATCAAAGAAATGGAGATGAAATAATGTTAGTTGTCATATTATTATTGGATGATGTGAGTGATTTTTTAAGAAAACTAGTTTTGATGTTGTTCGGTTGGCGAAAAAAATAAGAAAATGAATTATGAGAAACCTATTTCCTGTAGTTTGTTGTTTTCTTCTGTTCGGTTCATTCTAAAAAATAAGAAATGAAATGAGATGAGATGAGTTGTCATTGTATTAATGGGTGACGTGATCCAAGATTAAGAAAAGTGTTTTCACAGCTTTTTGGGATGAAAACAAAGAAATGAAATGTTAATGAGATGAGGTGAATTGTTATAATATTTTATTGGATGATGTGAGCGATTTGAAATGATGAGAAAAGATGAGTTGAGTGATGCTTGGATGAAAATAATATTTTATTAGATGTGATGGATGAGTTGTTAGATGAAAATAATATTTTATTAAATGTGATGGATGGGTGGTTAGATGAAAATAATATTTTATTAGATGATGTGGATGAGTTGTTGGATGAAAATAATATTTTATTAGATATTGTGGATGAGTTTTAGGGATGGAAATAGAGGAAATAGAACTTTTTGAGATTTTCACCTTTTCTATTTTAATTTCTTGGTTTTTAGAAAACAAACGAACAGGCCCTAAAAATATATTCGTGTACCTCTCTTTGTTAAAATGTAGCAGACCTACAACTCTATTTCCACACGACTAAACATTAGATTTTTTTTTTACAATAATTTTTTTTAATAAAAAAAATATTACATAAGTGATGATGACATATTTTTTTTAAAAAAAAATATTACATAATTTTTTACAATAATTTTTTTTTTTGAAAGCTTGGAAGAGTCCCATTAACAGACTGATTTGTTTCCTAAAAGATTTAGATATTAATAAACTATAAATGGCAATTAAGCAAACATCATCAACATGTTTCGGTTCCTCCGTGTACTCACAATTTTTTTGTTAATAACCAAAAAATGATGAAAAGTCATCAGTTTTTCGTGCCAAGAATCCTCGCTTATATCTTGGGAATTTCAGAGAGAAAGAACAAACATGAGCCCCACATTTACCTTTCCATCCAAAAATCCATACCATCGAACGGGGGAAAAAAGAAATTGGAAAGTGATGGACTTTTCATTTTCAAATATTCTCTAGAAATCCAAAACACTAATCATTTGTATGTGATCTAGCAAATTCCTTGCAGTTTTATATGAACATGCGAAATCTTAATTCTAATCTATACCTCAAATTATTTAAGTTAAACAAGGAAATGCCTCCTTATATTTTCTTAATTTAAGCATGCCATCTGCGAGATAAAATATTTGCAAGAATTAATGACTGCCTTCCATAAATAATAATTATTATTATTATTGAAGAGTGTTATTCTTCGCTACAAAGCAAAAAAGACCATCCTAAAAAACTTGATGCAGAAACCATTACTGATGAACTTCAGGTTTATACCATCATATTACCCTGCAATCTTTTTATTACATATTAAGTATATTCAGAGAAAAGAATTTTTCAGGAAAAAGGGGGGAAATTAACTTAAAGAGAAAATCCATAAAAGAGAGAGAGCTCTACTATGATTTGTTCAGTCTTTTTCTCATTCACAAATTTACCTTCAGTCTTAAACTGCAGCCTGTTAGGTGCTACTAAAGAACAAAATTCACTGATTAATCAGCAAAGAGTCACAAAATCAAAACGCAAAAAGATCTTTACTATATCGTCACTCATCATCAAGGACGTTAATCATTCAAAGCTACATTTTATTCAAAGTATCTATTGGATACAGAAAATCAATACTTCAAAACATACAGCAAGTCTGAGAGCAAAAGGATCCAATCTAAAAACAGGGATCCAACTAATCTGATAACAAAATTTTAGACTATGTATCGCGTTAAAGTTTCATTCAAACAACAACAATAGAAGAAAACAGACCTATATACTCAACCTTTGGTTCTCATAATTGTTATACTTCCTTTCCCCCCTTCTGTTCGAATTTTAGTCTTCACCACAACAGGTTTACCGGAAAACGCTGAAGTGGGATAAGAAGGAGAAGGATCTTCCTTCTCCTTGTCCTTCGATTTTGGTGGAGTATGAATTCTCTGATTTATATCCTTCAATGTGACATCTCCTTGATCTTTGTATGGTTTAATGAGGGTAAATGGGTAGGCGACTGTGGTAGTTAACTTCGTTGGAGTGTTCATAACAGATTTTCTACCTAATATCCACGGACAAAAAAAATATTGTTATAAGTATAGCAAGTATAATGCTCTTATGTATGTGGATATAATTTGTGTATGTTGCTTGTGGCTTTAGAAAATAAAAGGCATACCTCTATAGATTTTGCAAATTGAGGAGTTAGGTTGCTCTTTAACATTGAAACTTTTCGTTCCAGAAGGTATCTTGACGGACTCTAAAGAAAGTAAGACAAATATTATCATGCATTGTTAATTTTGAACCTTCATAAATTTATGATAATTAACGGACTTTGTAGGTTCTCAATTGGGGTAAATTTCATTTACAAGCAACCCATGGGTGGTTTTCTCCGATTTATGAAGTTCAGGGACCTTCTGTTGAAAAAAAACCCCAAAATTTTATGGGGATTTTGTGAAATTTACCCATCTCAATTGGCACATATGGTCCATGCAACAAGAACAACATCATTGACTAACCTGAAACTTCGACCTGATCATTGGAAATGAAAGAGTCATTCATACACGAAGACCTACATCAACATTCGGACTTGTAAATTAGAGTGAAGAAAGTAACAAACACGTAGATATAAGCTCATGTTATAGAAATGGTACTGACATTTCACCAGAACTACGATGTGTATCAGTATCGGATAAGCAATTGGCGAGCCATCCTTCTGAAGACTGATCCAGGCTTTCGTTGGCAAAAGTACACCTATCATCTAACGCAACTTGTATTATAAGCACCATACTAAAGATAATTTTCCCAACTCTTAACAGAAATCATTATGGCGTCAAAGCCAACCTGAGAAAGTTGAGTTCCACTCGGGGTTCCACTCTAAACATTCTAGCATTTCATCTGCCAGCAAAGAGTTCTCGAATTCCTATACATAAATATAAAGTGAGCCCAAGATCGAAAAGGTAATCTAGTTCTATACAGCTTAACACCAACCTTAGAATTTTCATAGGGGACGAAGGCTTGCTCGTCGCCGATGTGGGTGTCGTTAACTTCAGGAGGATATTGCAACATTCGCCTCCTTTTAAATTGCGATCCTCTAGGTTCTTCCAACCCTTTATCAGTCTTATCTGAGTTTGTGCTTACCCCTTAGTTATATATAGCTAGGAGAAATCTCAAGAAATAGCAAAGGAGAAAAACTTACCTCCGGAATGCGACTCGTAGCCAAAATTTCCAGTATTACTAGTAGGAGTGTGTTCCCCCAATGTGTGCAACAAACTATTTTCATTTTGGTTCATGTCATTCCATAGGCATTCAGGGACTGCAAGTATAAAGGGAGCGTGAATTAAAACAAAAGTGTACATATATTAAGAAGATAAGACCACATGGGGAACATACCGAGCTCTGAATCTTTCTGAAGAGCAAAATCTTCTTCTCTCCAGTCCCACATTTCTCTATAAAACAGCCATTTGAGAATCAATTCAGAGCATTTGTAAACAAGGAATGAAAGAGGAAAAATCTGAAATACTGATTAATCTATCAATGCAATTGGTGAAGTAAGGTTTTCCAATGCACTGCAAATTTCTGACTCTGATGTTCAATGCTAGCAATGTAAGATCTTTAACTTGTATGGATCGAGCTAAATTAAGAACAGGGCTATGCTATTCACCGATGAGAACTAGGGTAATCAGGCCAACAACGCCAAAGAGGAGTATCATCGAACATGAAGATGAAACAAAACACCAAGGTGATCAAAATTGGGACTACAAATCGATAACAATGAATCAAATGGATTAAGAATTTGAAGGAATAATCAGGCATACACGTATAGGGAGCATTACTAATGATGTACAGTGCATTTGCTCTGAGATAAACTTTACAGAGAATTAATTTACAGTGAAATTGGGGACAAAATTAGCAAAATAGTATTTTATGAAATGCTGAAAAAAGTAAACGAGCTATAGCTTACATAGAAATTATGAAATAAATCAAGGGATCATGAAAAAAAATCTATTTAAAATTGACCACTTAATTAGCATCATCAATAATCTCATACCTCAACTAAAAATTCTCGACTCTCTTCAATCCAAAACTTAGAATAAAACACAACTAACATTTCATTCATATTTCTAATAAATACAAGAAAAAATATACAGAATCAATATCCAAACTAACCCAACAGATAATCAAAACCCATCAAAGCTTTTAGCTAGATTCGTGACACAAACCAACTGAAAATTAATGGAAAAATCAGAATAAAAGCAAAAACCCAACTCACATGTCATTGCTGTTATCAATCTCCATAGCCTCTAATCTTTCAAAGATCAAAACAAATAATCAAATAAAAAAATAATGGGCAGAGGAAATAGCCGTTAAGAAAGAAAAAGAATCGTCTAAAGACTTCACCCTCTTCTTCCTTTGTTGTTTCTCTGAGACTGCGCCCCTTATAAAAGCTGTCACCTAATTTTATATAGGGTCAATTACCAATATACCCCTAGTCACCCATATTTGCAAAATTTGCCTTCGCCTTTCCATACTTGCTAATATATCCCTCAAAAGTTGTGTTTGGGAAAATCGAGGGTAATTTTACGAGCTTTTTAGCTAAGGGCCCGTTTGGATGGGGTATTTTGCCCCGAAAATTAGGAGAAAAACTGTCAAAATAGCAGCTTTTTAACAGCTTTCCCCCAAAATCGCCTCGAGGGTAATTTTAAGAGGCGATTTTGGGGGAAAGCTGCTAAAAACTGCCATTTTGGTAGCTTTTCTCCTAATTTTCGGGGTAAAATGCCCCATCCAAACGAGATCTAAGCTAGTTTTTGATAGCTTTATTATTATTATTATTTTGAAAAAAAAATTTATAAAAGTTATATGAGTAAAAAAATTATTATTTGGTCAAGCTATGCTTATTTAGGTGAGCATATAAACTAGTTTTTCATAAGCTGAGGAATCCTAATTTTTTCAAAGAGGGCTCAAAAGATAGTTTATTTGTGATGTTATCAAATGGCTAAATATAAATAGCTAGTCTTGATGTTATATAATCACATAGATAAACTAATAGGAATTGGGTTGATTAGGGGTCGCTAACTTCTTCGAATATTTGGTTTGGAGTTGAGTTGTTCTTCCCTGCACGTGTAGTAACTCGTAAGAGAGGCGGGGTCTGATTCCCTTATTGTTCCTCCGACGATCAAATTAGTAAGGTACTTCAGTGGAGAAAAAATAAAAAACTATTGCGGTTTTTAAGGGCAGTGGAATGGAGAAAAATGCAGAGAAATTGCTTACCCTCATGTTGAGAATAGTTTTTCCTTTTATGATAATGAAGGAAGGACATTTTGGTTTTTTCGGCAGAGTCTGGGTTGGCGGTTGAGAGTCAGCATCGTCTTTACAGGTGTCGGGTGTGGAGTGGTCACAAAATGGGCGACGTCACTTCAACATAAATGAGATGGGATAGACGGCGTGCGAACCCGGCATGGTTCGATGTGCCATAAATAGTATCGGGGATGGAGAAATGATGGCGCTTGTTAGGCATTTAATGTGATGTCGATGCGCTGTCAGTGAGGGGCTCGAGGCCACAGTCGCCTTTTGTCTTGTATTGAGGGGTGTCGAGAGGTATCGCCTTTCGAGTTAGCTCTCGTGAGATGTCGGTCAGTCAACTAGACGAGTAGACTTGTGGCGAGTCGTTTTTGACGAGAGGTCTGATGAGTACTTCCTCTCGAGCCGACCTAGTGAGATGTTGACTCGACGAGTTGGCTAAATCGGGGCTCTGTTTGTCCTGAGCATCAGGTTTACTGGATTAGACATAATGAGATATTTGTATGTTGTTGACAAGAGGTCACAATTTGACGAGTGAAAACACCATAACAGCTAGTTATAAGCTACTTTAACAAAAAGTTAATCACTCTCAAACATTCTTATTTTTGGAACATATACACACATATACATATATATTTCTTTTTTTTTAGATTTAGAATTAGGATAAATTAGCAAATAACTAGATCTCAGGGATTAATTTGCAAATATGATTGATTTGAGGGTATGAAAGTAAAATAACTCTTTTTATATTTAGAAGGCAAGAGCAGACATGGAAGTAGAGAGAAAAAGTTAAAGGGACTAGAAATAGAGTGACCCATTAAATAACCAGCAAGAATAGATCATGTTTTTGTGGGGTCCAGGGTCAGTTAGTGGTTGAGAGGAGTTGGTGTGTTGAGTGCTGGGTTGTGTGGAAAAATAAGGGATGAGAAGAGTGGGAGAGAGGGCCGTTAGTTGTGGGATTTCGTTAAAATACGATTTAATATTTGGTTATTATTTTCATTATTAATAAATATTATTTTGGATTACCTTCTAAACATGCTGATGAATTTAGTCAATGGACAATTAATATTATTTTGTTATGAGAAGAATTAATGTTAGTATGTTAATCGTATCACTCTTGTTTTTTTCATTGACATTCTTCCAGATTTACATTTGTTTATATTATGTTATTGCACATTAATATTTACTCTAAATTTCATATTATCATATTCATGATTCAAAACGTCTATCTCGAAATAGAAAGATCTTTTCATACTAAGAATTTTGTTAACTGCAAGAGTATAGTTAACAATTTTTTTGAGCTTCTCAAAATGTATACGTGAAATATTTCCGATGTCTACGGATTCTTGTCACTGACAAATGAATGACCATTTGCAAATAAAGATATGAACGTTTGGATTGCAAATAGAGATTTTAGAGCATCTCCAACCCAACTCTAAAAACCCAAAATGGAGCAAAAACTGCACCAAATCTTCCTCCAACCGGACTGCAAATTCAGCGCCATCTTGATGAGGTGCTACAGTGTTGCGCCAGATTTGGCGCAGCACTGTAGATATGGAGATTTTGGTTTTTCCCAAGTTTGTCCTTATAGTTTGTTATAACAAATCAAATATTCCAACTATATCCTATTTTATAGTTTGTAAATAAAATGAATATTCTTTTTTGTGTAAAATTTGGTGTAATGGTTGGAGATGAAATAGTGATTTGGTGTAAAAACTACAAATATTCTTTTTTGTGTAAAATTTGGTGTAATGGTTGGAGATGAAATAGTGATTTGGTGTAAAAACTACACCAACTTGGTGTAAAAACTACACCATTTTGGGTTTTTGGGTTGGAGATGCTCTTAGACAGATTTCAGATAAAACGCCATGGAATGGGAAAACATTTAAATTGAAAAACCCATGCTTAAGAATAGAGCCTTAGGGCATCTCTAACCCAGCACCAAAATGGTGCAAACAGTACATTTTTTGGCAATGTTCTTTCTCCAACCCTGCCTCATTTGTTGCGCCATTTTGGTGCATTTGAACAGTGCTGCATCAAATATGGAGTCGCACTGTTCATCGCTTCATCACTGTTCATGTTTTATTTAAATTTATAAAACAACCCCAATAATATTTAAATTTTATAATTTTACTCCAATTGTATAATTTGGACAAAATAAATTATTTTTTTAATTATAAAAATAATGTTAAAATTTAAAAGAGATTATTATTAATTATAATATTAAAATCTAAACATTATAATTAAAAGTAGATAAAAAGGAATATGTGAAAAAAATAAAATTTGATATGTGGGGTTAATTGTTGAAATAGTTAAAAATATAGGGAATAGAAAAAAATAATATAAAAGTAGATAAAAAGGAATATACTTAGAATATTCTTTTTTGTGCAAAAAATGGTGCAGTGGTTGGAGATGAATTACTGTTAGATGTGACTTTTGCACCATATTGGTGCAAATTTTGCACTATTTTACTGCAATGAGTTGGAGATGGTCTTAGTCCTAATATTTGCAGGTCTACTAATAAGGAGAAAGTTTAAGAGTTATTTACTACGAGAAGACTTCTGTGCAAAAAATGGTGCAGTGGTTGGAGATGAATTACTGTTAGATGTGACTTTTGCACCATATTGGTGCAAATTTTGCACTATTTTACTGCAATGAGTTGGAGATGGTCTTAGTCCTAATATTTGCAGGTCTACTAATAAGGAGAAAGTTTAAGAGTTATTTACTACGAGAAGACTTCT